AATCTAACTAAGTTCTTATTATTACTCAGAAGTCTGTACGTCCGTGAGATGAAATCTGCTTGGTCGACTCGGTGTGCAATGCGCTCACATGGCCCTGACAACGGCGGCTGGGGATAAAAACAATAGTAAAGTCTTCTCAACTCATTTGATTTACGACCTTGATGTCCATCCTCGACATGTAGAAATTGCTTATAGCCTTTGATAATCCACCTGGACTTGCTTACTATTCATTAATTATCGAGGGCATCTCATCTGTATTTCGTCATACCGACTGGCTGGCTTTCATTCTTGCCAAAAACAGGGCCAAAATTTAAAGCTTGTGACGGTCTGGATCCACGTTTATATTCGGTTTTTCCGTTTTTATTCACATCACCAAAGATGGAAGTCTAATCTTATTCGTTTTTTGCCTAGCTTTCTTCTTATTGTCTTATTTACTTGTTTGGGCCACAATTATACTAATGAATTAGTCGTGAGGATTTATTGCGAGCATGGGAATGATTTGTCGAAATGGTTTGTATACTTTTGTTAAATCCTCATATCTCCACTCCTTCTTCTCCACTTTCCTTATTGACAGCGCTAGAAGTGGAATGATCCGTTTACTTTCGTTCAAAGTGGCACTGACGTTGATGTGCTCGGCTACTCTGGAGGAGAAATATCAACGTAAGTCCAATGCTTTCTTGTATATTGCTTTAAGTATAAGATTCACACCTTTTTGCATTATTTCACTTCAACTTATTTGAAAGTTTACATAGCCTTAGTTGACAGATAGAAGCTGAGGCAGTTTCATTTGCAGCATTGTATTTATACTCCAATTTTTCCCTAAAAGAATGACTCTTAATACCATTTGCCATTACAACGATGTGTACTGCTCAGCTGTTCAGACCTTTATAGTGACAGCTCAGGAATTTCGTAATATCCATTTTTCAAGAACAAGCTATTTGATCTCGGATCCCTCAACTAGGCTTTCATCTAATTGTAATGGTTAGCTTTTGTTCATCTTCGCGATATAGAGCGTAAAAAATACTTGGTTTTCCGTTATAGTTCCCTTCTGCCCAGAGACAAACATGTACATCTTTTCGGCATTAAGGATTGGTAACTTACCTAGTCATCGGTTCGACCCTGGAATAACACATGACTACACTGGCAAAGGATTCTGTATGATGTATGTTTTCCAACCTTCAAGGACAAGCTTAACCCAACTCTATGGAGCAAGAGAGACGGTAATCTACAGGCAATACCAGCTAGATTTTTATATCTGTCGCTAATTGTATGTTACCACTGCATTTTGATGTTGAAAATACCAGTAAATTTCGTTTAAGGGTTTCATGCTATCCGACTCAATAATGTAAACATAATTTCGTCCTTAAACTGCTATTGTACCGATGGATATGTTGTCTCGTGTTAAAAGGGGTGACAACCAAACTGCGGTATCATCACTCTTAAATTGATAAAATTGGCACAGCGACAAATATTGCCTTTGTTTGCTGATGCCAACCAGCAGTGAACCGAAAGAAACACTCGAGTTTGTCTTGAAATGTATTGCTCCACGACTCCCTACTAATGGATTGACTGCTATCAAAGGCTCGCTTAGGCTTCTCCAGCACTCCTACGAGGTTCGAAGGTGTGGATATGTGGCTTCAAATGCAATTACTTTGGGACCTAGGCGACATGATCGTCGAATCGTTGAGTCTCATGGCAGATGTGGACGTCAAGGCAAAGAATGTCTTCTTTGGTTGTAACTCATGTTGCACGGTTCGAGTCCGACAGGGTTTGCTAATGACACCTTTATGGATTCGGAGTAGTAGTTGACTCTGGAGGGAACCGCCCTCTTCGGAGAATTAAGGAGTGACCGTATTTGGCAAAATCATGCCAAGGCTCTTTTGGTAACTTCACGTTCCTCTTATGGAAGAGTGTTGGGAAAAGGTGCAACCAAGTGAAAATCCGATTCGCGAGGGTCGTTACCAAATTGCACTTCGGTTTCCATACCGGCTTCTGCACCATCAACTAGTTATTGGTGTTTACTGATAAATGTTCTTTCTGCGGCTTCTGTTTCGTGGCTATCATGAGGCTTATTGTTGTCAAGGTGGCCAGTTCGCTTGATTTATTTTTGAATTAAGTGCCTCTGTCCATGATGGAGGTAAGAAAAAACAGGTTTTTCACATTTAAATCTTCATTTTCCTGCCTTCCAAAGGGCCGTTTACGTCCAACCTGAGTTCCTTTTAAACCCCATTTAATCATCTCACAAGCATTTCCATTAAATTTCACCATCATTACACCATTGTTTTGCACAAAAGCATGATTATCCTTACAACAGAAATTCCTCTCAATTGACAAGTGACGACGAGCACATGATCGTTATTAGTGCGAGATTTTCATACAAAATGGTATGATCTGAAAAGACTTGATTTGCCTTAAAAGTTATATTCAATGTTGCGAGGGTCTAACCTATTTACCTTTTGGCCCACACGTTAACGGTTCAAATTCCGCAAGAAAGTGGATATTTTAGGAAGTGAAATTCAATGAAAGCTACAGCTTATTTAATCCTGCGCAGATTATCTATCAGTCAAACAGAAAACCACTCTAAATTTTTGCACCTCGAAAAAATGCTCTCTGTCGCCTTGCAATCAAGCCTCTAAATGACTTTAAACACAACTACTGGGTCTTTTGCAACACTTGGTGCATAGGTCTACCAACTTTATGGGTCTATTTCGACTGAATTATCCACTCAGCCAAAATAAAAGGTCTTTATTTTTTTCCTATCTCCATCGGTAGATGTAGCCCAGCCTTAATAGTAGGACTCAAGTGAAAATGTGTGAATAACAGTTTTGAACGTCGATCCCACCTTAAGTTGATAACTGATTCCTCCGTCGATTGGCTTTACTAAAACATGTTTGTTAATGTTGTATTCAAGGCAATCTTCTTTGATTTCGCTGTAAACGTGTTTAACTTTTGTCTACCATATGACAGGCATCATTAGAATAGATTATCATTCCTGAACTAGAGCTTGGTGAACCTAGGTCAAAAGATTAGTTAGGGACTGGATGCCTTTCAATAATGAGACGATTATGCCTCACAATAACATTGAATTTCACATAGCCCAAAAGGTATTCTCATCCAGACAGGGGTGGACTGCAGTTTCGACATTGTCTTGGTCTCATCAGTAACCCCAGCGGGATTATATAGCGAGTCATCAGTATATTGGCGATATTGTTACTCCACGCCACAACCACGGATTCCAGAGGATTACAGGGCAAAAGCTAGGCCTATCCCATCGCTAATATACTCACAATTCTCTATAGAATCCTGCTAGGGGTGCTGATGAGACCAAGGCAGGTCGAAACTGCAGTCCACTCCTGTCTGGGTGAGAATACTTTTGGGGAAGCAAGGCTATGTGAAATTCTACGGTTCGTGAAGCCTATTTATCTAAACTTTGGAAAATTACCAGTCCTTCACTCACCTTATGCGACCTAGGCTGACTAAGCTCTCTTATTCCAAATGGAAGGGAGCTAAACAATTGTAATCCAAAAGATTCCCTGTAGATCTACTTTTATTCACACAATTTTGTTTGCCTACATTGTTTTGGTCAAATGCTCTCTTCCGTTCCTTTGCCTTCAACTCCCAAATTACCATGATCAGATCTCTTTACTTTGGTCGACGCCACTGGCGGTATGAGCTATGAAGGACTCAGCGTTCTGCTTCATGAATGTATTCAATTACCCAGGCAACTGGGGGAGGCTGGCTTCTTCGGCGGTAGCAATGTGGAGCCAAGTGTGAAGAACTGTTTTCGTAAGGTGAGAAGTGGTTAGTCAATCTCTGTTCGGCCTCTTTCACTTTTATCATTTGTTCCTCCACCTATCGCTTATACACCATCATTGGATTTATTTAGCTACACG